CAAGTCATTCTGCTTTGTTCCATTCACCTTTAATTTCCTTTTACAAATCCTCCCAAACTCACCGTTTGCAAGTTCTTTTCAAAAATTCCAAAAGTTTGTGTCATTGGAAAAGAGCAACTGTGTCAACTTCCACTTCCTCATATTTGTTATCATATAATCCCATACCTCTTCTCAACACTATAGCATTCACTTCTTTTAAAACCACATCTCTAAATATATTAAACAACTATGGTGGCATCACATATTCCTGTATAAGGCCTATTTTTACTGGAAAGTTTTTCTCTCCTGCATATTCTAATTTGAGCCTTACTCTTTGCATATAACTCTTTACTGCTCTTAATAACCTACCACCTATTCTGTACATTTACAACATCAACCACGTTGCTTCCCTTCCTACCCTATCATATGCCTTTCTTAAATCCCAGAATATGACAAACAGTTCCATATTCTTATTTAAGTATTAGATAAGAGTACAGTGAACCCCAGTTTACGATATTATTTCATTCCAGAAGTATGTTCAGGTGCCATTACTGAACGAATTTGTTCCCATAAGGAATATTGTGAATTAGATTAGTCCATTTCAGACCCCAAACATACACGTACAAACACGCTTACATAAATACACTTACATAATTGGTCGCATTGGGAGCTGATCGTAAACCGAGGGTATACTGTACTTGGTTTGTACATCTCCTACCCTTCTTAAATTTCTTCTTTTTTCTTCAGTTGTATTTTCTTAAGTTAAGCTTCTTCAATAATTCTGTCATATTCTCTACCAAGTATACTCAGTAAGCATATTTCCGTATAATGCCTACATTCTTGTCCCCTTTTCCTCATATTCAAAAGAATTATGCATACACTGTCAAGCCTTAGTTCCCTTACTTACCTTCACACACACATTGAATCAGTACATTGATCACTCCAAAACTATATCCCATCTGCTTTCAACATCCCATCTGCTGTACTCTTTTATTTTATCCACTGCTTTATGCACTTCTCCCACATCCTTGTCTGGCTGTCCTTTACTCCATGAGATATTACTCATTCCTGCCTAATGCATGAAATTATTTTATTCTTGTCATCAACATTTAAAGAGCATCTTTACAGTACTGCCACCTCTCTTGTGTATCCTCGTTCATTTTCAACTGCCAAATCCATGTGTCCCATAGGCAAATGAAGACTTACTCATCCCTCTGCTCTTATTTTGCACTCCCTCACCATTCTTAACTTCTCTCCATATACTCTGCCTTCTGCATATCATTTGTAAATTGTAAGACCTCTTTTATGTCAAGTTTTTCTCCCTTGCTACTATTTTTACATCATTCCCTCATTCAGCCTGTGCCAACCCTCCTGCAACTACATGTCTGCTGTGCACTCCAGCACTGCATTCATAAATCTACTTCATATGCTTCAACTTCTTTCCCATTACTTGTACTCTCTAGCCCACCTTTCTCCCATTAGTTACTGATATCTTTCTCTGGTTTCCTTCCATCTATTGTGACACTCGTGAACAGTGCTTGTCCCAAGTGAAACACTGTAAACAAAAAATACTTCTTATTAAAATTATTATTTCTTTTAGTTTTCTAGTAGAAGTTAAATTTATTTTGGAGTTTTGCTGTGCTAGTGGTAATTCTTTGTATTTTATGAAGAATCTGATAAAAATTAAATATGCAGCTACTACACTTTATCCAGATTTGAATACTCATTGTTAAATCATAAATGCCAGATTTTATGGAAGTTATATGTAAACTAAAATAAATTTCAGAAAAATATTATTATTTCCTTAGAAAACTACTAATCCCATATAGATTATTTATTAATAATGTAATATAAATATTAGTGGGAAGAAAAAAAGAGGTCTATTATTGAATACTGCACATATATTGTTTAGATGACACTGCATAGTTGCCATTGTTTCAAGTCATGAGATATTTTCCTTTAATTATATTAAAAAGCAGAGATACAGTATATTCTAAAGATAAACTAAACCCATGAATCACTTACTGCTGCAAAGATAACGAGAATGTGTTTTCTAGAGCTTCCACTTCATTACACTGGAGGGATACACGGATTTTTTCCTTGTGAAATTTTATTAAAGGTCAAATTTTATTAACTTACATCTGCATCACTAGTCTGTAATTCAATAAGTACTTTTTATATATGGGACTTTATATACAGAAGATGCCTATAAATTGCATGATCATAGCTCACATTTTCAATATTCTGTGATTTACTTTTTGTTTTTCATCTCCAATAATAAGGCATTCCAGAATGGAATTCATTTCCATGGTGGTGCACATTTCCATTAAGGAGAGCTGCAACAGGCAGGAAGAACCCCCCACTACCCATTAGGCAACTAACTCCATTGCTTCATTCTTTTAGCAGCCTCCCATGTGGGTCAGTATATTTAGAAGGGTACCATTCAATTTTCCCCCTCAATGCACATTGCTCAGTTTTTTCTTCTTTTCATCACCCCCCTCATCTCCAGATATTTATCGTGGCATACAAACAAATTGCAGGAAATGCTGGTGAAGCAAGGAAGAAAATTTAAGTGTGAAACTGCTTATTTCAAAAATGGAATGAGATACTGAAGGGTGGTACATGTGTCATGGAGACGGCATACGTGTTTGGTCTTAAGAGAATCAATGATTTATTCAATTCAAGACAATGAGTTTAAGATAAAGTCTTGTATAATAAGTAATCCTCAGTGTGACAGTGAAAAGAATGAGGGATAGGTCATTACAGCTAAATAAAACAAAGTTTACTAGATACATGGACTGAAAAACAAAGGTGTTCTACTTGATGGCCCTATTAGGGAAAAAGTGTGTGAGGAGGAAGGACAGCCCAAAAAGTGTGTATATTTAGTTGTGGACAGTTTAACTGGTTGAGATTATTATTATTATAATCAAGGGGAAGCGCTAAACCCAGAGGATTATACAGCGCCTGGGGGGGGGGGGGATGTGGAAGGCATTCAGGCTTAATTCGGGGAACTGGAGAACAGATCCAATTCCCTAAATCAAGAGCCCCTCACCAACATCAAGGAACCTTCCTTGAGGGGTAACTGGTTGAGAGTGCTCAGTAGGTTGTATAATATAAAGTTCAGTAGAAAGAGTGCCTCTGTTGATCATGGTGCCACAGAAAAGTTATCAGACAAGCAGGTATTTAATGCTGATGAGACAGGTTTGTTCCAGAAGATGCCATCTAGAATTGCTCCTAGATTCAAAGTTGCAAAAGACCATTTCAGCTTGCCTCTGTGGCAGTGCATTAGGAGGCTTTAAATGTAAGCCCATTCTAGTTTAGCTCCAAGAATCCCCATCCTTTAAAAAGAAAAGCAAAAGCAGAATGCTGTTATTTGGAAGTCCAATGCCACAGCATGGGTGACTAAGGCCTCCACCGAGTGGTTCAAGCATCACTTTATTCCTGAAGAGGGGATGTACTTGTCTCTGAAAAATCTTGCATTCAAGGTTCTTCTCATCCTTGATAATTTCAGTCAGCCTCAACTCCTGGAGTATGTGGAGACAGGTGTCACGATTCTTTTTCCACCAAATATGACAATCTTGTAAAACCACTGGATCAAGAAGTTAAGATATTTAGTGCCACTACACACTGTTACAGAAACTAGTGGCAGTAAATGATGAGAACGGTGAAATGCCAGAGTTTTGGCACAAATTTAACAATGCAGATGCACTTCCCTGTGTCAAAAAAGCATGGGATCACGTACCAACATCAACAATAAATGCCGGCTGGAGAAAAATAAAGCCTAGTGTGACAAATTATTTTACAGGTTTTTGATCACTGGAAAGTAATTTCAGGAAATTGAAGATATACAGCCTGATGACATCAGTGAACTCTTGGAGGAAGAGGATTAGTAAATGTTGAAAAAATTAAATTCCCAGATGCTGAAAGAATGATGAGAATAAGAATCCGAGCCTGAACAACCAATGCTGATTCTGAAAGAGATACACAAGTTGCTGCAAACTGAATGTCAACTTGCAGACCTGTTCATTGAAAAGGATAACGATTCATCTTAAAAGCATTGCTGTAAAGCATGTTCTGAAGCAGTCACTCTGGCTTTATCTTCTGCTGGATAAAACAAACACCATATGATGGAGTACCTGAGGACTCCATTGCAACAGTCAACTGATGACTGCAACATCATAAGACTTTCAACATAACATCAACCCAAACTTGAAGGTAATTAACTGTCTGGCCCTCACTAGAGTTTAGGTATTTTACAGAGCATCATTGACAAAATTAGGTAAAAAAAAAAAAAAAAAAAAAGTTATTTTTCAAAGAATTGTGATAGTAAATTCACTCCACAAGTTGCAGAAATCATTGGCAGCGCAGTTTTCAGCATGGCATGTAACCCATGTGAATTATTGTCCACTGTATTTAATGCAACCCAGATCACATTAAATGCCACAATAGGGATTTTATTTAAAAAAAAAAAATAATCAAGGAGAAGCGCTAAACCCGTAGGATTATACAGCGCCTGTGGAGAAGGGATGTGGAAGGTATTTAGGGTTAATTCAGGGAACTGGAGTACAGATCCAATTTCCTAGATCAAAGCCCCTCACCAACATCAAGGAACCTTCCTTGAGGGGCCACAATAGGGAAAGGTAATATTTTACAATATTCTTTATTTAAAAATGTTATAAATAAATTTTTATGAAGATACTAAGTTATCATTAACCTACAGTCAATAATAACACTAAGGTTACTGGTCCTTACATGTTCTCACATATAACAATGTAACCAAGAAAAATTTGTGGTTTCCAGTTTCTTTTAGCTTAGGTTATTTGAGTTTTGCAAACAGAATACTTTTTTAAAGTGAAAGTGTATGCCTAAATGCAAGTCTATGCTCCTATATCCTCTCAAGGGAAGGTTCTCTGATGCTGATGAGGGGCTCCTGATGCAAGGAATGGACCTATCCCATTTCTTGGACTGAACTTTATTGCCTCCTATTCTCCCAGGTGCTGTATGACCATTACAAGTTTAACACTTCCCCCTCAAATATATTAATATGCTCTTATATTCTCTGAGGTAGCATCCTTGCCAATTATTATCACAGTATATTAACAAAATGTGCTCAACCCATACACAATAAATGGTCACAAGGCTGAGGGGAGCTACTGGCAAAGGAAGTGGTGCAATAAATTAACAAGGAAAGTTAACGGTGGCATGAGTCGGTGTCAAAAAGTTAGCATGTGTGTTCACTAAAAGTAGAGCTTCCAGAAAGGAAAGTAGGCAAAGTGAGAGCACCCAGGTGCTGAAAAGCAGAATGAAAATAAATCCTGTGTTCTCTAATCAACAGTACGAGTAAGCATAAATGTGCCAAACACCTCCCTACATAAAAGCTGTGAATATTGAATGGCCAATACACAGTAATGCAAGAACAGTTTCCCAAACATGAGTGGTTAGAAGAAGTCGATTAAGAACCCAACTATAGTTTAATTGAAAATAACTTCTTTACTCTAACCAGAATCCTACAAGCTCTTAGACAAAACTGGAAAACAGTTTGAATTGGGTATACATATCCCTGCAAAAGATGGACGGTAGTAGCAAAGAATTATAGACTGATAGCATTAATGTCCCACATAAAAATCTTTGAAAGGGTTTCAAGAGGCAAGATCACTAAGGGCAGTATGCGTTTAAAGCAGGTCAGTCCCGTCTCTCACTACTACTGGACTATGAAATGATCTTGGATTCACTGGAGGATAGCATGTCTATCACCTCAAGTTTCTTCAAAATAGGCAAAATTTCCTCTTTAAACTTTATAATGTCTTCACTGTAACTATTATACCTCTTGGTGCTACTGCTGATATCCAAGAGATGAGATGGGGTGAAGAAATGATACAAAATATAATGATAAACACAGAGTTGGTTTAGCACTTTTTTGATTATAATAATAATAATAATATTATTATAGTCAAAAAGAAGTGCTAATTCACAAGGGCTATACAGTGAATAATAATAACAAAAGAGACAGGTATGGGATGCATATATCATGGGGCCAAGCCTCTCCCTAAAACACTGGAGAAAGAGGTAAGTACAGTGCCTGCACTCTGGAGGAGTGGGGATATTTGCAATTTGGCGATAGTGATGGAGTGAATGATAGTGAAAGTGTTTTATTTTCAGGTCATCTTACTTTGGTGAGAGATGGCCAGGGTGTTAAAAAAAAAGTCATAATGGAAATTTAATGAAACATGAAATTAAGACATTAATTACATCATGAAAATATAATTACACACTAAAAGCTGTACATAAAAAAACACTGACACATCACTTACTCTACATAAACATTATTAAACCTTCATTATTAAAATAAATATTTTTTTCAATTAATTCATAATGTACAGAAGAACCCTTGCATCCACTGATTCAGTATCTGTGGTTTCAGTTACCCATGGTTTACTGTGGCCCAAAAATACCTCTTAATTTTGCATAATAATGGTCCACAAGGGCAAAAGTAGAGAAGCTGGCAGTTCTTCAAAGCCTAAGAGAAGTCGTAAAGTGCTTCCCATCAGTGAAAAAGTGCTAATTCTCCACTTATTGTACATAATTTATCAATTAAACTTTATAATAGGAACGTATTGGACTTGTATATAGGTTTTGCTACTGTCCACGGTTTTGGTATCCATGGCAGGTCCTTGGAATGTATCCCCCTGCGCATACGGGGGTCCTACTGTACTTGCCTTCTTACATATAATTGTTAATTTTCATTTTAATAATGCTTAAAAAAAAAAAAAAAAACTACATTTCTGTTTCATTTGGCTTTCTATTCAAACATGGGCTGTATAGCCCTTGTGGCTTAGCGCTTCTTTTTGATTATAATAATAATAATAATATTCAAACATGGGCTTGATAAGCTTTAAATGTACTTCCAACATCTCAACCTTTTTCTTTGTGCATAAGGTAGCATTCTCCTAGGAGAGATGGTTACTGTCCTTGACAATGATTAGTACTGACATACTACTGCAAAATTCACTATAATTTAGCCTGAGATCAAATTGTGAAAACAATAACACTAGCCACAAAAGACAGTATTATTATTAGGATAAAAACTAAGCACTAAACCCACAAGGGTCATCATTAATACAGCAAATGAAATGTTTTTATTCATGTTATAATATTAAACAACTGAAAAATACTCTTGGATTTTGCTACTTGGCAATGAGATAAAAAATCAAGTTTGCTGAATTTATGGAAGAGCATAACATTATTAAGATGAAGCAACTGTGCTCTCATGGTTAGGAGTTGTAAACTTATACTGTGCCCAAGGATGATCTGGAAGCTGTACCTTTGATTTTTTAAGCCAATTTTTGTACTCTAAAAGATACAACCTGACTTCTTCAACCTTCTGTCTACTGTATTTCTCATCAGCATTTTCATTTTCCTGCAATACAAAATATATAATTTTTTTATAAAGTATTGCAAACAATTAATGACATGTATTGTTATGAGTGATTAATACAATATACAAAATACCCTTACCTTTACAGTTCAGTATTTTCCTTCTAAATACAGCAATGAGAAAAATCATACAAATTTCACAGTTTATGATCTATGCATCTCTTACCAAGGTAGGGTGACCCCTAAAAAAAAAAAGTTAACACATTACCATCATTCATTGAATCACTGTCTTGCTAGAAGTGTGATGATGTCACAATTCACATGACCCTCTGATTTGCAATGAGCCTGGCCCATGGCCAGGCTCAGAGTAGAGAAACTCTCGAAATTCTTCAAAGGTACATCAAAGGTATAACCCCCTTCCCTCCAGTCCATGCACTCCCCTTCCACCCCCAGGGCTCAAGTTCAGCTAACCGATTTCTCTCAATCCCTTCATGTTACCTTGTTCACACTCCAACAGCACATCCTCTCTGATCTACCATACATGAATTCAAGAGTTCAACTATATATTAACATTACTATCTGACTAACCAACTTTTTGAAAACTTTTGGCCTATATCAACTTCTTTTTGATTATAATAATAATTGGCCTATATCAAGTTCCACAGTGGTCAAATAACAAGGAATACCATTCGCACTTAACAAGGTATTACAAAAATGAGTGCATTACTACTTACGATTTTTAGGATAAAATTGCGAGCGTTTGTCCTTGCTATTTCAAGAAGTTTGAGGAGATTATCATCTGGATCAATGTTTCTGTGGTTCATTTCCTTCAGCATTTCAAACGTGTAGAAATAATTTTTCTTCGTTAAACCATTCTTTATTAGAATTGTCATAATCTCCAGATTAGGTCTGAGGAATAAGGTATATATAAAGTAACATTGCTTTTCCATTATTTATAATTAGTACTGATTATTTTTAAAATGTGCACAGATTTGCTTGTGAAAAATTAAATAAAATGTAATATGAAAACAGCTTTTTCCCCCCTCACTAATCACATTAAAATTTTTAACAAACAAAATTTAATTACTACTTATCAGTGCTGTATGACCCTTGTGGGTTTAGTGCTTAGTTTTGATGATAATAATTATGTACTACCAATGAATGGAGAATCTCATACCATATGAAATTTGAGCTAGCAAAAAAACAGAGCCAACATATGCAGTATTTTTGTAAACCCCTTAAACCGTACCTGACATACTAGTATGCAAGTGCTGTCTACACGTCTGATGTGCTAATATGCACAAATTTTCATACCCTCAAATCTGCCACCTGCCAATATTTTTGACCTTAGCACAACGCTGGCCTTCTACAATCTATGCATACATCTGAAAAAATCTAGGGCCAGGAAGAGCCACAGTGCATCATGGTTAACTAAACAGGTGATGACCCACTGATGTACTACTTACTAATATGCCTCACTAGCATAAGTAAACAATGAAACCAGGAGCTATTGTTCCTCCAACTAGCTACCAACAAACAGGGTGTGGAAGTGGCCCAAAGATGACTTATTCATTCCAAATTTATTAGAGTTTCACGGTACTAACAGTCGAATTTGACCACAAAGCACATTGTATTTAACCCAGGATAACCTAGTAAGGTCAAACAGAGATTTATTTCCATATTTTAAGGAGTATTATACTCTGAAGCAATTGTAATATTATAAGTATTCCTTGCACATAGCATCCGAGGACCAAATTAGTAAGAAAAAATAAAATAAAAACAATTACGTGTACATATACAGTGGACCCCCGGTTAACGATATTTTTTCACTCCAGAAGTATGTTCAGGTGCCAGTACTGACCGAATTTGTTCCCATAAGGAATATTGTGAAGTAGATTAGTCCATTTCAGACCCCCAAACATACACGTACAAACACACTTACATAAATACACTTACATAATTGGTCGCATTCGGAGGTGATCGTTATGCGGGGGTCCACTGTATTCTAAGTGAAGCAAAGTCAGGGCAAGCATTTCCCCATGTTTAAAGTGCTAAAACACCATTAAACACATCTAATATAAGAAATTAATGTACGTAGTGTTAAACACTAAAAGGAATTACAAAAAGCAGAAAAACGAAAACACAAAATTTTATGGACAACTTAGACTTTGCAGGTGAAAGGTTAGAGCTCAGGATGCATTTTACACACTGGCAATTTTGCTGACCTTGAGTCCTGTTTTAAGCCAATTCCACTGCTCAATTTTACCAAATTCTTAGCTATTTTACTAGTATGCATTCAGTTCTTTTGACTGCATTCAAGAAACCACCCATTCAACTATCAAAACTACTCTATAAAAAAACACAGTTTGATAATTTGGCCAATTTTACAGAAAATTAACAAAGTCTCAAATAAATACTGTAGACACTAAAACAACTTTCCTCTGTACAATAATCATGTCCCTAAGCCTCTCCTACAATACACTTGCCTTCACTACCCTATTTCTCGGATAACACAATGTAACCAGGAATGATTGTCATGGTTTACAGTGTCCCAATAATTGAATCAGACCTTGTAAAAACCTATAAAACAGACTAGGGTGTAAATTGAATATTTCAGTAGAATGTCTTCCATTCTACCAAATGATACCAAGAAACTGTCAATAAAACCACAAAAACCATACCATAAAATCCCTCAAATTTGGCATTTTAGACCAAATACAAGGTCAGAGTTTTGTATTTTCCACTATGCACCGCATGAAGCAGGATTTTTTTATACTGTACACACTCACCACACAGATCCATTCTCTCGTATCTAGGGTAAAATTTACCAATCACAGCCTATCTGAGGAAACTGAGCTCGTGATGCAGATCTACGTGATGGACCCTGGTATCAATGACACAGTTCTACATGACAGTCAAAGGGGTAAAAAAAATGTTACATTTCTTACATTTCAACAGCATGTTAGACCCTAAAAACTACTTTTCACTCATTATTATTATTATTTTATTATTATTAATACAAGATTCACTGGGAAGCAATAAACTCATAAGAGTCATATAACATTAATACAATATTCACCAAAAAGCACTAAACTTGTAACGGTCATACAACGCCTGGTGAATGAGAGAGGCAGAAGGTAATGAGATTTGATTATAGGAAGGTGTAAAAATGAATAATTTTTGGTCCATACAGAGGAAGCAAAGGTGCACTTGAGGATTTCTGGTACATTTGGTTAACTTTTTTTTAACATCCACTCTTACTTGCTGAGTTATTTTTAGTTACTGGTGAATTATGCTATTTACTCTGTGAAAATATACCCAACAGGGAATGACTTATCCTCACACTTGATCTAAGGAACTGGACCAATGCTCCAATTCCTGGAGTAAAGCCTAAATGCCTTACATTCTCCCAGGAGCTGTAACACCCCTACAGGTTTTGCAATTTTCCCAATGAATGTAATAGTAATAATCATCTTCCCCAGCCACCTATAAACATATTCAAGAGTACCTGAAATAAGATAAGCCAAAACTAAAATTGACAGTCTTCATTCCATAAATCTAGACATTATATTTTTGAAGTTTGAATGCAATACATGTGATAAAATTTCAGTTCTTGTGTGCTAACTGAGGTATCCAGATTCACACAACTTGCATTTTGTGCATTGCTGCCCACTTGAAATTTCATTAAATTTTTTTGTTATACAGTGGACCCCCGCTTTACGATCAGCTCCCAATGCGACCAATTATGTAAGTGTATTTATATAAGTGCATTTGTACGTGTATGTTTGGGGGTCTGAAATGGACTAATCTAATTCACAATATTCCTTATGGGAACAAATTCGTTCAGTACTGGCACCTGAACATACTTCTGGAATGAAATAATATCGTAAACCGGGGGTCCACTGTATTTGGTTTGGTTAGGTTAGGTTATGTATAATAACCTACATTTTTGTATAATTACCCAAAATTAATGAAATAAGGTCAAACGAATGGTTTATGTCTGGCAGTGCAAGTGTACATCAAAATTTTGTTCGTGCATTTTAACACATATGGTGAAAAAAGTAGAAAATAGGTTGTGCTTGGAGATAATGTCCACAGACAGATACAAAACAGAATCTTCATAGGTCCAGTCAAATACTTACCTAAATTTAGCTGCATCCATATCCCGTAGCAGGTCAAGTGCATTCTGAAGGTGCCGACAACCCAATGCTAGACAGCCAAAAGTAATGATGTCAGGAAGTAAGTGGTAGTCCTGCATTATTTCAAGAACATCCTGAAATTAAAATTCATCAACAGAATTTGTCAGCTGTACTGTACTCATAAATATGTAAACAAATATTAAGTCTTACATTATTAGTTGTTATTTCTAAAGGATAATATTAATATAAACATTCTCAAAAGTACTAGAAAGTACTTCTATACAGAGTGATAGAATAATAGACTGTAGTACAAGAAATGCACAAGTGCTACAATCACTGGAAATTCAAAAAAGAAATTACCACATCAGTCATCTCCCATTAATGTAGAACAACCCAAATAAGGAAATATATTTATCATCATTCATTCAAAGGTTGTCTTCCAGAGGTGCGAGAGCATCCAAATTCAACGACCCAAAATTCCCAAGCACAGCTCTGCTCCTATAACAATAAATAGCTAATCCCAAAATAGGCACGGTGATGGAATTAATGATGATGAAAGTGTTTTTTTTCTTTTTCGGGTCACCCTGCCTCAGTGAGAAAAGGTTGAAGTGTTATTATTAAAAAAAATACTGGATTATCACAAAGTAGGTAATTACATACTTCATTCCAAGCATATTTTGTATGTAGTACACAGCACTTGTAATTTTTTTTAAATATCTAGTAGAAAAGTTGTGAATAAATGGTTTAGAAAACTGACAAGCTGATCAATGAAGATACTCAAATATTACACAAGTGTAATATAAGAATTATAAATATTACTAAGTAACAGGAAAGCAATCCACACTTTTAACCTATAACTTCTCTTATTCTTCAAATTCCTGCACTTTTGTCCTTTTTTTTTCTCCTGGCAAAATAAAGCATTGCATGTATGTAATTAATATAAATTGCATGCAGTAATACATTAAGTGTACACTAGTTTGCAATGGAAATTCATGCACCATCAGGACTGACATACCTTTGCAGCCTCTCCATCTTTCCGAAAGTTGCGTTTACGAATAAGCATGTTGCAAAACTGTGTATCTGGAGTGAGGCCAATATCTTTCATGGATCTGAGCAGCGCCTTAACAAAAACAAGATTTAATGTATAAATATAAAACAATGAATGCAAAGATAACAGCTCTCATAAAAGCAATTTTTTCTACTGTAACAAGTGTGTAGTTTTAGAATAAAGAGCTGGGTAATTAATTTTTTTTTTTAATTTTATTTACAAATCACTAACCATTTGGTTATTCATAGCTTTAATCATATTTCATTTCTAATATCAAATTTACCCTATCAAATTTACACTGCTATGACCAATTCACTATCGTATTGCATACCGGTGCAGTGCTGTATGACCCTTGTGGGTTTAGCGTGGAGCTCTGATTGTAATACTAACAATTACAAACCGGTAAATCACTGGCAAAACAAGTATAATTATTCAAAGTCTAGTTTTTCACATTCCACACATTTCATTTCATGTAATGAGCTGACTTTTAAACAAGAATGACACACCATACAGATGTAGATTAGACACATGTGCTAAGTGTTTCACGTGTGTCTAATTTATCACACTATACAGATATACACAATTCACTAGTATGGTGTTTGTGAAGGAAACCGATGGAAGATTAAAAAATTAAGTGATTAGGAATAATATACCTACTGAAAAAAGATATACTGTATGTTAAACAAACAGAGCCTGCTTAATTGTGAAAATCTACTAGAGGCCTGTGTAAAAGTTAAGGATATTCATAATGCAAAATGTAATAATCAAAGGCTCATGGGTTTTCAACAACATCTCAATCATAGATACCAGTAAGGATAATTACCAAAGACTCCCAACTTTCTTGCACTGAAGAGGGAAACTGATAGGTTTCCCCATGATATCTTTGATTAATTGAGCTGTGGTACCTATTTGTGAGGTTACCAACACCAAAAGGCTGTCTGATCAGACCACCAACCAGGAAGCCTGGTCATAGACTGGACCACATTTTCAGAATACTTCTTGAGTCGGCTTGTTTAATTCATGATGAGTGCTAAATCCATGTGGGTTATTCAGCACAAGACGTGGTGGAGGATCAATCCTCCATCTGCTGAGCATGAGACAGGCGCGCTTCCTATTTGCACTTACCTATACAGGAAGGTCCCACTCTACAGTGCCTCACTCTATGGAGTTTTGCTAATGCACTGGTTTTCAATTATACCCATTCTTCATTTATTCAGACTTCCTACAATAAATGGTTAGTAGATAACAAACTATCATTACACCTCGGGAAAACTGAAGCCATTCTCTTTGGCACGAAACATAAACTGAGAAGGGTAAATAATTTTAATGTCCAGTGTAATGGGGAGCCCATCATTTTGGTTTCATCAGTAAAATAATCTGGGAATCCCCTTTGACCCATGCATGTCAGAACTGATAGGGAACAGTGTAGTAAAGAAAGCGAATGCCAGACTGAAGTTCCTGTATAGACAAGCATAGTGTCTACCTACTGAGGCTCGCAGGACCCTATGTCTAGCCCTTATACAATGCCATATGGATTACGCTTGCTCTTCATGGTGCTCTGCCTTGACAAAAAAACTGAAAGATAGACTGCAAATCACCCAGAACAAAATCGTAAGATTCATCCTGGGGCTGGGACCAAGAGAACATGTAGGCCAGAATGAATTACAGCAGTTGGATATGCTGAATGTTGAAGACAGAGTAAAACAACTGAAGCTAAATCATGTTTATAAAATTGCTCACAAAGTGTCCAGAATATCTTGCTGTCAATTTTGTCAAGGTTGGGAACCAAAGCAATCATAGTACTAGGGGGAGAGAGCACAACTTTATAGTACCCACAGTCATTGGCCAGGCTTCAAACACTTTTATTGTACAGCAATAAAGGAATGGAACAGACTACCCGCACATGTCAAAGCCAGTCATAACATGAACCAGTTCAAGAAGAGTGCCAAAAGGTGTATGATGAATGTAGCTACAGAAAGGGAGGGGAATGATTTTCTATTTTTTTAGCTAACATACGTGTAAATTTTACCTTATTCTTAGTAATGACCCTCGTATTGTAGATAGTCTTAATGACCCTCGTGTAGTAGATAGTCTTTTTAGTATGATAATAAGATGTTATCTTCATTATAGAAAAATAAGAAAATATTATAACCTTTATATTATAATAATAAGGTAAAAGGACCCCAATGGAAATAAGTCACTCTGTCTGACTTTTTTGGGTTATCCCAGGTTCTCTACACATATGTTGCTATGTATGATAATTCTATGTAACTGTATTTGTGTATACCTGAATAAACTTACTTATATTCACCACTCACTATAAACTAAGGACAAAAATGCTTTAAGGTAAGTAATGTGTGTACTGTATATGCATTTCTTAGGCCTAGCTCTATCTCTAACTTATCAGACTTTTATATTAATTTGAAAGTGAAAAAAAGGCTAAGATTCACTTTACAGCAGCAGCCCTAACTGCTGAATAAGTGGGGCCCTACTGTATCTTGAATCTGTTATATCTCTTACAAGGAATCAACACTTACTTCCTCAGCCTCTGTGCTTGCAGGCAAAGAGTCCAGAAGTTGAGTGGCAGTCTTCAAATCTGCTTTTACTCGGTCACGTGACATCTGTTCAAGTATACCCCTGGGGCCACCTAAAAGAGCTAATCTGAAAAAATATTCAAAAACATTACTATTTTACCAATATAGCAAATAAATTAAGACTCATTTAAAAACCTAACAAAATACAATGAATAATTCATTTCTTTATTAATAATACACTTGCCTATAATGCCATGAAATGGTGATATACAATTTTTCTTTTTTCAACTAGCCGGCTATATCCCACCAAGGCTGGGTGGCCTTAAAAGAAAAAATGAAAGTTTCTTTTTTTAAATTTATTAATTTATACATGAGAAGGGGTTACTAGCCCCTTGGCATAAAATAAAGAATGACTTATTTATGTAATTCTAATGAAGAGCTGCATATACTGATAAAACATTAGATAATAACTGTTATATAACAGTTCAGAAAACCAACAAGCTGACAACTGCAGCATAATTGTTAGTACTCCTAGGTAGTAGGTTGGTAGACAGCAACCGCCCAGGGAGGTACTACCGTCCTGCCAAGTGAGTGTACAACGAAAACCTGTAATTGTTTTACATGATGGTAGGACTGCTGGTGTCTTTTGTCTGTCTTATAAACATGCAAGATTTCAGGTACATCTTGCTACTTCTGCGTACACTTAGGTCACACTACACATACATGTACAAGCTTATGTATACACACACCCCTCTGGGTTATCTTCTAATTTCTTTCTAGTTCTTGTTCTTGTTTATTTCCTCTTACCTCCATGGGGAAGTGGAACAGAATTCTTCCTCCATAAGCCATGCGTGTAGTAAGAGGCAACTAAAATGCCGGGAGCAAGGGGCTAGTAACCCCTTCTCCTGTATATATTACTAAATGAAAAAGGAGAAACTTCCATTTTTCCTTTTGGGCCACCCTGCCTCGGTGGGATATGGCCGGTGTGTTGAAAGAAAGAAAGAACTGTTAGTACTGCCCTGTTTGCCATTGTGACTGGTGAAATGTTAACACAAATATACAGTGGACCCCCGGTTTACGATCAGCTCCCAATGCGACCAATTATGTAAGTGTATTTATGTAAGTGCGTTTGTACGTGTATGTTTGGGGGTCTGAAATGGACTATCTAATTCACAATTTCTTATGAACAAATTCATTCGTAATGCACTGAACATCTTCTGGAAAGAATAATGTAAACCGGGTTCACGTACACAATGGCAAAGTATTAACAATTTTTTTTTTTGACGAATTATACTGAAACCAGAACTGAATAACTTTATTAATGAAATATGCCATAAAATAAAAATGAGGAAGTATGGTATTTTATGTCCCTTACCTAAAGGCAGTATGTTTCATGAAAAGTTAAAAGCTGCCTACCTATTCCAACCAACTAAGTTAGCAAATTAAAAAAAAAAAAGTTTATATTTTTTGGTTATGACTTGGAGTGTGCCCAAGTACTGGTATGGGGGGTATTGGCTAATTTTAATGTTGTATTAATATTGGTAGAATTACCAACAATATGTTAATTAAAAGGACACAAGTGCAACTAATGTGACATTTTATTATGGCAACGTTTCACTTTCCAGCAGCTTTGTCAAGCCTTGACAAAGCTTCTGGAAAGTGAAACATTGCCACAATAAAATGTCACATTAGTTGCACTTGTGTCCTTTTACTTAACACAATTTTAATGTTATCTGAAGAGAAACAAAATTATCAGCATCAGTGAGTATCAGCTAATTCCGATGGTACTGTATTCAAATTATCATAACTGATTATTGGCTAGTTTTCATAGTATTGGCATTGGCTTAAAAATTGAATATCAGTATTGATAACAGTACCTGCAAACAAAAAAAGTGGAATCCTCCCATCCATAGTTATGATCAGAAACAGTGAAAGAGGTGATCACTGTAATAAACTGTAGCTAATTTTTAATGGTAAGAAAAAGAATATAAAATATAAATATAACATTAAGAATGGAAAGAGTCTTTAGCCTATGAGATTAGTTGCATCAACTAGTATGAAATTAAGAAAATATAGTGTCCAGTATGTGTCACAATACTTTTCCAAGGTATCCAAGCACAAAAGCTGAGAATAGCCAAACAAAAGCCTTCAGTAAGACACATATGCAACAATTAGATATCTAATTGTTGTACATGTGTCTTAACTACTTGTTGGTATTGTATATCATTGTTATATTCAAACAAGATTCTAATGGACTATATTGTAATTGTAGACTAGTCTTCCCAAAGAAGCACAACCATGCTATGAGTTGTTAAGGTTGTAGAAGCATTATAACAGTGATTCCCAACCAGAGTACTGCGATTAAACGCACTGATCTGAGAGTTTCAGGACTCGCTTACCATGGGTTCAACCCCCCCACCCGTTCCCTGATTTATTTACTGTGGTTTAATGGAAGACATGTACAATGCTGTTAAAAATATGTAAGAGATTTCCACTATGTCTATGGTGTATATTAAGTTTGTAATATACAAATAGGAGAGAGGAGCTTATGGTGACATTTTGGTCCAACCTGGACCATTTACAAAGTCATTTACAAAGTTTACTTTCTCCTATGTGCAGGTTATTTGTGTATTGTTTAAGTCAGGTATTGTGCTTTTTTTGTTCTTTAAGTTCATAACCTTGTTTAAAAAATAAGAAATGATGATGAATATTGTGAGCAACCTGCTCTTACCTGTCCTGTGGCTGATCCAGTGGCCCTAGACTCACAACAGTTCCACTTGTTAATTTTTTCCCTAATAAATTGGGTAATACAAGATTCTCGTTTGTATTAACTTGTATTTCTCTCTCTATTTCAACCATGGTATACATCTGCTCATTTAGATTTTCACTAGCATTATGGGAATCTTTGCTAGTTATTTCTGCACATTCAGCCACATATTGAGGACTACTTGCATTTCTTGCCAAGGAAGTATCTTTTTCATTTTCATTTTCTATAACCAGGACTTTTTCTGTAAGTCTTTGCTTCTTATTTATCTCTTTCGTTCCTTTATTGGAGATATCTGCATTCCCTACCAGCAGTTTTGATGTTAACTGTGGATCTCCACTACCACAATCCTTGATACAGCGTATTAAGAGATTGTACGAATAAATATCTGGAGACAGCTTCAGCTCACGCATTTTTCTCCAAACCTGTGACAGAAATAATAATAATAATAATAATAATAATAATATATCATGATTTGATGATGACAATGATGATTTGATGATGATGATGAAAAAACATTTATGAATCACTGTATCTTCCTCTAGGTACAAATCAAGTTTATTTTACTATTAACCCTTAAACTGTCCAAGCAGATCTACGTTCATATGCGTAGTGCTCCAAAAGTAGATCTACATTTTTTTATATATATTTTTTTTTTTAACAAGTCGGTCGTCTCCCACCGAGGCAGGGTGACCCAAAAAGAAAGAAAATTCCCCAAAAGAAAATACTTTCATCATCATTCAACACTTTTGCCTCACTCACAAATAATCACTGTTTCTGCAGAGGTGCTCAGAACACAATAGTTTAGAAGCATATACGTATAAAGATACAACATATCCCTCCAAACTGCCAATATCCTGAACTCCTCCTTTAGAGTGCAGGCATTGTACTTCCCATTTCCAGGACTCAAGTCCAACTATATAAAAATAACCGGTTTCCCTGAATCCCTTCACTAAATATTACCCTGCTCACACTCCAACAGATTGTCAGGTCCCAAATACCATTCGTCTCCATTCACTCCTATCAAACACTCCTGCTGGAAGTCCAAGCCCCTCGCCCACAAAACCTCCCTTACCCCTTCCTTCCAACCTCTTCGAGGACGACCCCTACCCCACCTTCCTTCCCCTACAGATTTATACGCTCTCCATGTCATTCTACTTTGATCCATTCTCTTTAAATGACCAAACCACCTCAACAACCCCTCTTCAGCCCTCTGACTAATACTTTTATTAACTCCACACCTTCTCCTAATTTCCACACTCCGAATTTTCTGCATAATATTTATACCACACATTGCCCTTAGACAGGACATCTCCACTGCCTCCAACCGCCTCCTCGCTGCTGCATTCACAACCCAAGCTTCATACCCATATAAGAGTGTTGGTACTACTATACTTTCATACATTCCCTTCTTTGCCTCCATAGATAACGTTTTTTGTCTCCACATATACCTCAACGCACCACTCACCTTTTTTCCCTCATCAATTCTATGATTGATGAGGGAAAAAGGTGAGTGCTGCATTGCGGTATATATATATTTTCAAATATAACAAAAAAAAAAAACGTAGATCAAAGTTTTTTTTTTCACACGTTTTCAAATGTAAAAAAAAAAAAAAAAAAAAGATCTACTTTTTTACATACTTTCAAATATTGAAAAAAACGTAGATCTGCGTTTGGACAGTTTAAGGGTTAAAATCCATCACAAAGCAACAAATGTGTGTTAAAGAGCAAATTGCTGTTTAACAAATTTTGTACTAATATGATTATACTCTATTTTAGGGAAAGCACCAAGCCCATAGGGGTCATACAGCACCTAGGGGCTATGAATGCTTTCAATCACATGTTTTATATCAAAATTATGAAAGGTTAACAGATTACCATTAATGCATGTCTATAGCCTGTCTCCTTGTTAGAGACACAGGCTTGTAGCAGAAAATTAATAGTTTCAGTGGTGACTAGCATCCCTTGAAGAATCATGTCATCAACAATCTGGAAGGCTGTGTTGATATCTCCACATCTTCCAAATGCTGAAAAACAAAATTATAGTATAGTACTTTTTTTAGTGAACCAGCTGTATCTCACCGAGGAAGGTGAGCTAAAAAGAAAATGAAAAGTTTTTGTTTTTAAATTTATTAATTTTATACTGAAAGGGTTACTAGCCCCTTGCTCCTGGCATTTTAGTCAGCTCTTATGACATGCATGGCTTATAAGGAAAAATCTCCACTTCCCCATGGAGATAAGAGAAAATAAAGAAGAACAAGAATTATGAAGAAAATAGAAGAAATCCCAGATGGATGTGCAAATATGTATGTGTGTACATGCATGTGGAGTGTGACATAAATGTAAGCAGAAGTAGCAAGATATACCTGTTATCCCACATGTTTATAGTATACATCTATATATATTTTTTTCATCAAACCAGCCATATCCCACCAAGGCAGGATGACCTAAAAAGAAAAACTAAGTTTCTCTTTTTAACTTCAGTAATGTATACAGAAGGAAAGGTTACTAACCCCTTTCTCCCAGCATTTTAGTTGCCTCTTACGACATGCATGACTTACAGAGACAGAATTCTGTTCCACTTCCCCATGGAGAATATACTATATATATATATACATGTATCCTAGGTAGTAGGTTGGTGGACAGCAACCACCCAGGGAGGTACTACCGTCCTGCCAAGTGAGTGTAAAACGAAAGCCTGTAATTGTTTTACATGATGGTAGGATTGCTGGTGTCCATTTTTCTGTAGAACATGCAAGGTTTCAGGTACGTCTTGCTACTTCTACTTACACTTAGGTCACACTACACATACGCCTACCATCCGACTTACGACCTGCTCGACTTACGACCACTCGATTTACGACCTTGTTTTTTATGCCAAATTTCTGGGAAATAAACAACTATTTGTGTTGTACACAGTGTTTATCCTAAACCTTACAGTATAAAATACAGTGTTTGTATGTGTATGTTTGGGGGTCTGAAATGGACTAATCTAATTCACAATATTCCTTATGGGAACAAATTCGGTCAGGACTGGCACCTGAACATACTTCTGGAATGAAATAATATCGTAAGCCGGGGGTCCACTGTATACTTTGTAAAACATTCTTCTGTACCTTTCAACATAGCATGACTGGTTATCTGGTTGAAAAGATATCCCTTTTCTATCAACTGTTCTCGCAGTACAGTAGCCCGCTGCAGTCCATCTGTGGTTGGCCACGGTGAGTTAGCGCATGCATTAAATAGTCCAGTGTAAGCTACAGGTTGAATCTTATAGCCTCGGTGTTTCATCTGAAAAGATTACATTTATAACTATACAAAATAAGATAAAAATACAGTAGACCTACCATCCAACTTACGACCACTCGACTTACGACCGTGTTTTTTATGCCAAATTTCTGGGAAATAAACAACTATTTGTGTTGTACACAGTGTTTATCCTAAACCTTACAGTATAAAATACAGTACTAACAGCAAAAAAATTAAAGTAAAACATGAAATACCAAAATAAAACAATAAAATAAAGTCATTACAAAAATGTTTTGTTGATATTCAGTAGTAAAGTTTGACTTACGACCGGTTTCTCGGAACCGAACTCGGTCGTAAGTCGGATGGTAGGTGTATTTATATAAAACAGTACAGCCTCTCCTCACTTAGTGATGTACTTGTTTACCAATGACTCGGACTTACAACGGGCTCTCTGACCAGTATGTTTACCTAAATAATGTATATTAGAGCTGATTTGCTCTATCCTGTTTATTACAATATACAGTGCACTACTGTATAAACCTTTAAAAATATACCAGAAATGTTATAAATGGTGCAAAGATGACATTAAAACAATATCAGTGATGGATGACACAAACCTACCACCATTATAGTATGCTCCTCACTTAACGACGAATTCGTTTACTGACGTGGTCTTAAGAATGAAACTCCGTCGTTAAGTGAGGAGAGACTGTACCATATTTTCTGGCATATATGGAGCAAGAGTATATAAGACACATAAGAAAATGTTTCCAAGCAGTTGTAAGGTAATGTTAGTAAACACCTGCTAAAGCATAACCCAAAGCCTGCCCTTGATCCTGACTTTGAGCATACAAGGCGCAAGCTGATTTTCCAAGACTTTTTGTGGGGAAAAAAGCATGCCTTATATGCTCGGAAATATGGTAATTTAAAAAATATAGAATGGGTTTTAAAAGGAGGTAGTAGTACTAACTGGAAAATTAAAATAAATTACACGACACAGGAAACACTGAAGATGGGACACCACAAGTACAGCTATACAGTATGCCTGAAACAAAAGCTATGTCATAACAAACAGGTAATTGTATGCTCTGTAGTGATCATTCTTTGCATTACAGGAAATATTTAGTCTGCACAATAGAGTACTGCACAATAGCCCCATCAGCCCAGCATCAGACAATAAATTTAACCCTTAAACTGTCCAAACATAGATCTACATTCACATGCGTAGCACTCCTAACGTAGATCTACTTTTTTTTAAATGCTTTCAAATGGAGAAAATAAAGGTCGGAGCGCTACACACGTAAACGCAGATCTACGTTCGGACAGTTTAAGGGTTAAATGTTAACTTGGTTCTATTGAACTGTCTATTATGACATTCTATCTATTATGACATTCTATCTATAAAAAGCAAGCTAACCATTATCATGATTAATGCATTATAACAGATGTTGTAATTCCATTACTTTAAATACAAAGATGCCATCAGAAAAAGCACTAAGAATCTTAAAAAATTCAAATTGGCGGATGTGATATTAACTTTGTTAATTATTGGGCTGTATATTTCTGTGGTGCCGCTGGCAGAGGTTTCTAGTGGGCAGCGGTAGGGAAGGACCAAACTGGAAGAATGCTCAGTTTTCCATGGCCAAATCTCTAGCAAAAAGAATTTTCCTCAGTGATGACAGTAATTCTATGCAAATAGAATTCAGATCAGTCTAATATTCTGCTTTTTGCAGAATATTAGACTGATCTGAATTCTATTTGCAAAGATTTGTGAAAAAGTGGGTTAATATGATTTAAATTAATAGTATTCCTCTTATACCTGGTAGTGGCGTATTCTTTTACCCTGCAAGAGAGCAGTAGATGATACTACAAGTTTAATGTGAGTTTCAGGGGCATTATTTGCAAGACATAAATCCTCCTGTCTAAAGTTAGGTGAAAGCTGAACAGTTCAAATATTACCTTATTGTAAAGTGAAAAAGCCTTCTTGGTGTACCCTGCTCTCCCGCAAGCATTTATAAGAACTTGGTAGCAAAAGTCATCAGGTTTGACCCCAGCAGCTGGCATCACCTCTTCTAAGATTTTCAAAGCATCTAACAGCTGGAAATAATATATTGCTCATTAAAAACAAAAAGTCACAATACCGTGACTGGAATAATACACAAATAACCCGCACATAGGAGAAAGATACTTATGATAACGTTTTGCTTTGACATGGACCATTAACTAGTTAATGGGACCAAAACATATCATCATAAGTGTCTTTCTCCCATGTACTCACCTATTTGTGGTTGCAGGGGTTGATTCACAGCTCCTGGCCCTGCCTCTTCACTGAGCTTTATCGTACCTCTTCTTAAAGCTATGTATGGATCCTGCCTCCACTACATTACTCTCCAGACTGTTCCACTTCTGATAACTCTATGACTGAAGAAATACGCCCTAACATCCCTGTGACTCATATGTGTGGGTTATTGTGTATATCTTCCATTATTCAAGCCTTTATCATATATGAAAACCAGAAAATTTTCTATATTGTACTAGTAATGAATCCATTACTGTATTAGCGCACTGTACATATGCAGTGGTTTCCCTGTATCTGCAGTGGATAGGTTCCAAGACCTACCGTGGATGCCCAAAACCGTGGATAGTAGCAAACCCCATATACAGTGGTACCCCAAGTTTCGAACAGCTCCCAACTCGACCAATTATGTAAGTGTATTGTTGTAAGTGCTTTTGTAAGTATATTTTTGGGGGTTTGAAATGGATGAATCTAATTTACATTATTCCTTATGGGAAAAAATTCGTTCGGTAATGGCACTCGAACAGCCTTCAGGAACGAATAAAATTCAAAACTTGGGGTACCACTGTATAAGCCCTTTTTTATTTACATACACACAATAAAGTTTAATTGATAAATTATGCACAGTAAGTAGAGAATTATCACTTTTTCACTGATGGGAAACACTTCACGGCATCTCTTAGGCTTTGAAGAACTGCAACCATCACTACTTTTGTGCTTTATGACCATTATTAAGCAAAATTAAGGGTTATTTCAATTATCCACAGTAAACTGTGAATAATTGAAACCGCAAAAACCGAATCCGTAGATACGGGGGTTCTACTGTAGCTTGTAATATATGAACTAATTTTGAGTTTGACTAACCAAGTCTAGATTTTTTATGTTTCCAAACTGAATGAATAAAAATACAAATCTAATTGTAAAAAATTATTACATTTATTCATAAAACTAAAATAATAATAATATGATGCAAGAAAATCATCAAAGTTAATTATCATTTGAAAATGCCATAAAAATTACCTTAAACAACTAAGATTAATACTGTTGCAAATGTAATGCATTAGTTTCTCCAAGATCACTTTATGCTGTACTTTATACTTTTTTTTTTTACACACCATCCTTCTCCCAATGAGGTAGAGTGACCCCAAAAAAAAAGAACACTTTCACCATCACTCAATCCATCACTGTCTTGCCAGAGGCATGCCTACACTATAGTTCAAAAACTGCAACATATCTCAACCCCTCCTTAAGAGTGCAGGCACTGTATTTTCCACCTCCAGAACTAGAGTCTGGCTAACCAGTTTCATGAATCCTTTCATAAATGTTACTTTGCTTACACTCCAATAGCACGTCAAGTCATAAAAATCACTTGCCTCCACCCACTCCCATCTACAAGCTCACTCATGCTTTATACTGTATATCTATCACTAAAAGTGTGGCACTAACCTTTCTTTCCTTGCACAAGCATTTCATTTGTAGTCCATAATATACAGGGCTGTGTTTCCTTTCCAGCTTTGAATCTTGGTACCTTTGTTCTCTAGCATCACCTTTATCACCAACTTCATCTACATGATCAAGCTTTGGTGGATCAATTGTACCAAATTCATCACTATTGGTGGCCTTGGTCAAGATTGCCTCTTCATTTTCTGAACCAAGTACCGTGCTAGCATGTTGCAACCCTTCTCTAGGGGTGTTACATACCCCGCTAGCTTCTCTTTCCACATTTTTTTCCTTACCATTTTTCTTTAGAAAATACTTATAATGCTCTTCACTATCATCCTGCACAATACTTAGTGAATTAATAACTTCCTCGTTATGTGCATCTTGAAACCTCTTCCATTTTTCTAAAACATCTTCTTCTTGGCAGTCATCCAAATTAGCCACTAACAGTGTGTCTCCTTTCCTTCCTTGGTTATGAAAGTTTTTTTTAAAGTAATTAATTTTTGAAAAGCTGCCATAAGCAGTCTTTTCTTTACATTTATATTTGTAATTTTGTTCATTTACACTAGATGATGAAGCTAGGCGTCCAAATGTATCAGCATCAGCTTTGTCAGAATCAGCATTTGAAACTGTTAAAGAAACTAACCGGAGCCAGTGTGGATTGCTAAATGCAGTTTGCAAAAAGGGATGCCATTTTCCAAACCCGAATTTTAAGGAATACATTGTTGATCATTTATCTGGAAATATAAAAAAAAACTTTTATTACACACAATGATATTGCTGGGATGAGATTGGCATGTGATCTCTGATCCAAGTCTTGATATTGGTAACAGCCCACATTATCATTTTAATTTTCACTTACTAGAGAAGAATTTTTAAGGCCAAGGACATTAGACTAGCAACCTATTGTCCAAATGAAAACAGCTATTCACTGGTAGCGATTTAAGGAGAAATGTGGCATTACCACTCCTCCATGCCAGTATTTGATTTGTACCGTACTTGACATAACAGTGCAGAAGTTTTAGAATTACACTGATCAACATCTTTGGTTAAACACTGACTTTACCTATTAAATATAAGTAATTCACTACAAGCTTGTATGTCTGTCTCTAGGTCCTGGAAGTTGGCACCCTCTGGTTCTTGTAAGCCATCCTGAATACAGTGGACCCCCGCATAGCGAACTTAATCCGTGCAAGAGGGCTGGTCGTTATGCGAAATGTTCGCTATGCGAATTAATTTTCCCCATAAGAAATAATGGAAATAAAATTAATCCGTGCAAGACACCCAAAAGTATGAAAAAAAAATTTTTTTACCACAAAAAAATGTTAATTTTAGTACACACAAACTGAAAAAGGCATGCACAATTACATGACACTTACTTTTATTGAAGATCTGGTGATGATTGATGGGATGGGAGGAGGGGAGAGAGAGTGTTAGTGTTTAGAAGGGGAATCCCCTTCCATTAACACTTGAGGAGGCAAGTCCTTTTCCGGGGTTACTTCCCTTCTTCTTTTAATGCCACTAGGACCAGCTTCAGAGTCACTGGACTTCTTTCTGTCCATAGAGCTCTGTACCTCCCGTTCCTTTACGATTTGTCTAAAATGGGCCATAACATTGTCATTGAAATAGTCACCAGCACGCCTTGCAACAGCTGTGTCAGGGTGATTTTCATCCATAAAGGTTTGCAGTTCAACCCACTGTGCACACATTTCCTTAATTTTTGAAGTAGGCACAATGGATTCCACAACTGGCATAGGCTTCTCAGGGTTAGCCCCAAACCCTTCAAAATCTTTCTTAATTTCCATACTAATTCTCACCCTTTTTACCACAGGGTTGGCACTAGAAGCTTTCTTGGGGCCCATGGTCACTTATTTTCAACAAACAGAACCGAAAACACTGTAATAATACGAAATATTCCGAGTGTATGCTTGAATGTTACCGCGGAGGCTAGCTGGTAAACAATGGGACAGGCGGCACATGTGAGGCTGGCTGAGGCCGCACATTGGACGCGTCTCGGACGAAGTTCGCTGAGCGGGTTTTTGTCTACTATGCGGGGCAAAATTTTAGCGATCAAAGCGTTCGCTATGCGGAATGTTCGCTATGCAAGGCGTTCGCTATGCGGGGGTCCACTGTACATGTATTTTAAAAATTACGTATATTCTTATTACCATATATTTTTAATGATCATTCAGTTTAAAGCTGCCCAAAGTGCTTTGCATAACAAGGGGCTTTCTATAATGAAGTAATATATGACAATCACCTTAACTGTATAATATACCAAAATAGTTATTTTTGTGTTTTTGTATATTCTGACTTGTTAAAAATTAAAAATTGTCTTCTTGTTAAAAATTAAAAATTGTCTTATTATTTGAGTATCAGACAAGTATCTTCACCAGGTGCCAGATCAACCAGGCTGTGATGGATATGTGGGGCAGTGGGCCTCCAGCAGCAACAGCCTGGTTGACCAGGCGAGCACTAGACGAGCCTGGCCCATGGCCGGGCTCAGAGAGTAGATATAGTACTCTCGAAATTCTTCAAAGGTATATCAAAGGTAAAGGTATAGCTTCTGAGTTTGTATAAGCAAAACAAAGTTTGGGTAAAATTGTTTATACAAAAGGTACCTACACACTAGGTAAAGAATGTCTATATATAATTTATAGAATGACCTGCCCTGTGTAATACTGGCTACCAATTCAACAAATAACTAAAATCTGAAAGAAAGAAAAGACAATGAGATAGTTATCTTGAAGCTAGCCACCATCTATAGTTTACCGGTGAAAAATAAGAGGTTCTGTTCCAGGGGGATAGCTTTTGAAACTACCCAAACATCATTATAAATCAGCTTCCTGAACTAGTCGAGGAACTTAGCAATGATCACACAAAGACTTGACATGTCAGGGTACAATGCTCACCTGTAGATTGCTTCCCCAATGAAGGAGAGATCTTAAAAGAATAATAATAATATTAACAATATTAATAATAATAATTATAATAATAATAATATTTTATTTCAGCATGATACAATATTTGTATAGAAATGGTTGATATTTAGTTTTGTATGCAGAAAGCCTGTAGTTATGCAGAGCATTTTTGGGCAAGCTTAAGAATACAATGGTATATGCCTATATGCAAAAAGATTGAGCTGTGTGGCCTCTACACACACCATCCAACTGCAGTATCAATATCATTTAATAAACTGTTTAATTGCCAGCCAATCTGACACTTCCAATTATAAAATAAACGCTAAACCTGTTTGGGTTGTTGCAGATGTCCTGTCTTCAGTGTTTACCTGGAGGGTGTTCTGGGGGTCAACACCCCATCCCCCATGGCCCGGTCCATGACCAGGCCTTTTGGTGGATCAGGGTCTGATCAACCAGGCTGTTACTGTCAGTCACACACAAACAGACATGTGAACCACAGCATATAATTCTAGATTTCAATTCTAACAAACCTCTGGCTGTCTTGAAGACAGCACTTGTCAAGGTCTTCAAATCGGATCCTGACAAAACCAGGCTGTGGCTGGTATGTTGAACTGTGCTGCAGCCAGCAGCAACTGTCTGGTTGATCAAACTTTGATCTAACAGAGGCCTGGTCTGTGACCAGACCACAGGGGTGTTAACCCCTGGAAGGGTCCTTTAGGTCCTTTGGTACCAAACTTGCACACGAAAATCACTCCATATGAAAGCAAAAGACTCTGCAGGAGATGCAACATACCCCCGATGAAAAGCAGGGGTGCCACAAGTACACTGAGAGACAACACAATAAGTGTTCGGGGCCCAAGACTGTTCAATTGCCTCCCAGCATACATAAGGGGATTACCAATAGACCCCTGGCTGTCTTCAAGAAGGCACTGGACAGGCACCTAAAATCAGTACCTGACCAACCGGGCTGTGGTTCATACGTCAACTTGTGTGCGGCCAGCAGTAACAGCCTGGTTGATCAGACCCTGATCCACCATGAGGCCTGGTCTCAGACCGGGCCGCGGGGGTGTGACCCCCGAAACCCTCTCCAGGTAAACTCCAAGTAGGTATCCTTCAGTTTCTAGCACATATAAATTGCTGTTGGATCCCAAGTGTATTATTGCTTTACTATGCCAAGGATAACGTTAGTTTACATCCCACAAAATAAATACCATTACAGTAATATTAGTTACAGTAATGTAAACACAGTATACGTGGCATACACCTGGAGGATGTTCCGGGGGCAATGCCCCTGCGGCCCTGTCTATTACTGAGCTTTTAGCAAGGGGAAGTGCTAAATCATGTATGGGTCATGCAGTGCATGGGGACTGGAAGGCAATTACATTCAAACCAGGGAAGTATAATTCCAGTTCCTTGGATCAAGAGCCTCTCACTAGCCTCATCTGAAATAATTTTATTTTCAAGACTAGAATGCTGATGTACACTAATAGCCCAATTTAAAGCCAATTTTTTTTTTTTGATAACCACTTCACCACCAATCAAATTATATTCACAAATTACTAAACCAGTCTGGGTCACTTAAAAACCAGCAACTTAATGAACTTAAACTGGTGTGCAAACAGGTAATGTAATTTTGCATCTGATAAGCCAAGGATAACTTATCTAGCAAGATAACATATCTATTTCTCAGGAATAAGAAAGTGTTATTTCATGTAAGTATACAGATGTATCTTACATGTCTGTTTTACATTTTGAAGATTATTTAATCAAGCACATTTATTATAGGCATGTGTGTACATACTGTTATTAGTGTATATTCTAGGGATTTGCTTTGTTCATAGGGCTCATGTGGTGCCTAGGGTATGACAGATAATCAAGTTTCCTCTAAGGAAGAGGAGGGGTAGATCCAGTTCCCTGGATGAAGAGCTTTTAAGCAACATCAAGACAATTCTCTCAAAGGGTACACATACATGCAGTATGATAAATTAAAACTCAAGTTAGGATGATGATGATAATAATAATATAAATTATTTTATTATTATTATATTATTATTTAAGAGAAAGCACTAAGCTCACATGGGTCATACAACACCTGGAGGAATGAGAGGCAATCAGGTTTGATCCACATAAGAAGTTTTTGAGTTAGAGTTTCCAACCATTACTTGCAGAACTAAGGCATCAGTACAGTACTATACACACTGAAACCCTCTCCAGGTAAACACTACCTCTGGACACCATGAAATAAGTAAATGTCTCTTCTGCAAAGCATTATTAAAGGTGATATTAGTGAAAAGAGCACTTTATTTGCCTTGCACTCCATGTCTGAGTCAATCAACAATTAGTACAGAGTCATGTAATGTACCTGGCTAAGTACTTTTTTTTTTTTTAACACAATGGCCATTTCCCACCAAGGCAGGGTAACCTGAAAAAGAAGAAACACTTTCATCATCATTCACTCCATCATTGTCTTGCCAGAGGTGTGCCGATACAACAGTTCAAAAACTGATAAGTATTCTTAATCATAATCTAGTTTTAAGTCTCCCTGAAATGCTCTGCAGAATAAGGGGCTTTCTATAAATTAGTTTAAATATGTCAATTACCACAATTGTACAATGTACTGTACTTCACTTTATAGAAATAAAATTTCTTTATCTTTTTTTTCTTTAATGTGGCAGAGGTAAGGTTAAGGAATTTAAAATTTTGAATCTTGAATATCGGATTTTGTTCATTATTAACCAGGAGGATTATGCACAAATAACCTGCACATAGGAGAAAAATTTTTTCTCCAATGTGTGGGTTGTGTGTGTAATGTTCCATTCATGGTATTGTGCCTCTTTATTCTTCAGGAGGATTAATAGCCTGGGATAACCAATAAAGCCGTCATTAGACTCTCTGGCTTATTTCCACTGGGGTCCTCTCCCCCAGGGTGCAACCCACACCAGTTCAGCTAACATTCAGGTACCTATTTATATATGGCCAGGTGAACAGGGGCAGCAGGTTTAAGGAAACATGCCCTACAATTTTGACTTGTCTGGGGATCAAACTCTGGTCCCTCAGTGTATCAGTTGAGGCCACTAGCAAATGAGCCACGACCACCCAGATCTAATTCCATGTATCATGAGTCTCTCACTGACATCGAGGAACTTCCCTCAAGGGGTTGGATCTAAATAAGGCACAAATTCAGATCCGTAGCCGAGGCCTGGTCATGGACGGGGCCACGGGGGCGTTGATTCCTGAAACTCTCTCCAGGTGTACTCCAGGTATGCTTATACCTTTAAGAACATAAGAAAGGAGGAACACTGCAGCAGGCCTAATGGCCCATACTAGGGAGGTCCTTCTCAAATCCAAACCCATAAACAAAAATATTTGAGAACATAAGAACGACAGAACACTGCTGCAAGCCTACTGGCCCATACTTGGCAGGTCCTTGCTGATTCATTGGGGATTTGCTGGTACTTCCGGCCCGGGTCTTCTCCAGATGGTGACCCGGCGTCCTTGCTGATCTAAGTTTATTTAGGTACACGTATACATTATGCATAGTTACACAAATTTAGGCGACTACAATTATCATATATATATGTAGTAACATATGTGTAAATTACCTAAGATAACCCCCCAAAAAAGTCAAAGTGACTTATTTCCATTGTGGTCCTTGGTAAGGGGCTCTTGATCCAAAGAACTGGATTATCCTTTCCTTCCTTGGATCAAACCTGAATGCCTCCTATTCCCCAGGCACTACATGACCTCTTTGGGTTTAGTGTTTTCCTGAATAAAATAAAAAATATATCTTTTGAGTCGAATCCAAAAATATGAGGGACACAAAGAATGTCATTATTTTAAGAAACAAAAAGAGGCTTTCTTATACCATATCTTAAGTAAATAAGTAAGTCTTGCAATAGGAAAGAAATAATATAATTATGGACCCCAATGGAAATAAGTCAATAATAATAATAATAATAATAATAATAATAATAATAATCTTTATTGGGGGGCCATCCCCCCAATGAAAAGCAGGGGTGTCACTAGCACGTTAAGAGACCATACAATAAGTGTCAGGGGCACGAGACTGTTCAACTGCCTCCCAGCACACATAAGGGGGATTACCAACAGACCCCTGGCAGTCTTCAAGCTGGCACTGGACAAGCACCTAAAGTCAGTTCCTGATCAGCCGGGCTGTGGCTCGTACGTTGGTTTGCGTGCAGCCAGCAGCAACAGCCTGGTTGATCAGGCTCTGATCCACCAGGAGGCCTGGTCACAGACCGGGCCGCGGGGGCGTTGACCCCCGGAACTCTCTCCAGGTAAACTCCAGTACATGTACAAGGTATACAGACCATAGTTGACATCAATGTCATACTACTATATAGAAAGTCCTTTGTTATCTATAACATTTCCCGCAAATTAGGTCAGTTTTATCCCAGGATGCGACCCACACCAGTCCACTAACACCCAGGATGCGACCCACACCAATCCACTAAGACCCAGGATGCGACCCACACCAGTCCACTAACACCCAGGATGCGACCCACACCAGTCCACTAACACCCAGGATGTGACCCACACCAGTCCACTAACACCCAGGATGTGACCCACACCAGTCCACTAACACCCAGGATGCGACCCACACCAGTCCACTAACACACCCAGGATGCGACCCACACCAGTCCACTAACACCCAGGATGCGACCCACACAGTCCACTAACACCCAGGATGCGACCCACACCAGTCCACTAACACCCAGGATGTGACCCACACCAGTCCACTAACACCCAGGATGCAACCCACACCAATCCACTAACACCCAGGATGTGACCCACACCAGTCCACTAACACCCAGGATGCGACCCACACCAGTCCACTAACACCCAGGATGCGACCCACACCAGTCCACTAACACCCAGGATGCGACCCACACCAGTCCACTAACACCCAGGATGCGACCCACACCAGTCCACTAACACCCAGGATGTGACCCACACCAGTCCACTAACACCCAGGATGCGACCCACACCAATCCACTAACACCCAGGATGTGACCCACACCAGTCCACTAACACCCAGGATGCGACCCACACCAGTCCACTAACACCCAGGATGTGACCCACACCAGTCCACTAACACCCAGGATGTGACCCACACCAATCCACTAACACCCAGGATGTGACCCACACCAGTCCACTAACACCCAGGATGCGACCCACACCAGTCCACTAACACCCAGGATGTGACCCACACCAATCCACTAACACCCGGGAAATGTGACCCACACCAATCCACTAACACCCAGGATGTGACCCACACCAATCCACTAACACCCAGGATGTGACTCACACCAGTCCACTAACACCCAGGATGCGACCCACACCAATCCACTAACACCCAGGATGCGACCCACACCAATCCACTAACACCCAGGATGTGACCCACACCAGTCCACTAACACCCAGGATGCGACCCACACCAATCCACTAACACCCAGGATGCGACCCACACCAATCCACTAACACCCAGGTACCTATTTTACTGATGGGTGAACATAGACAACCGGTGTAAGGTAACACGTTCAATGTTTCTACCCTCGCTGGGAATCCAACCCAGACCTTCACCGTGTGAAGCGAGAGCTTTATCCACCAGGCCACGGGACACCTAACTATACTGATAATTGTACTTATGTATACCTTTGGATTTTTAGATTTTGCCACCGAAGTGGCTAGTTTATTGTGCACCCCATATCCATCCTGTGGACGGTAGCGCGAGAGCATATGGATACACAAAAGGCCTAGGAACTAGGCCCCCAAAGGGTTAACAGGAATACATATGGATTTATATCTACATATCTATAGTTCACTTATCTGTTACAAGCAAATTTAGGAAATTTGCTTAGTATATCTGGTATCTTATTTTCATTAATAAGATATCTTGACATATCACATAGGTTATTATACTGTCTGTCTCTGTATTCCTCAATAAGTGGACAATTAAGCACATAGTGTTCAAGAGAATGACCATATGCCTGATCACATAATTTACATTTAGTTTGATCATCATCTGTGTGTCTCCCAAACTGCCAGAAGTACTTGTAACCAAGCCTAAGCCTGGCCACTACAAACATCAGTCAGTCTGTTCACATTGCAAGTTGCTCCATAAACATACTTATCTACGTTCATGTTATCATAGTGGGTTATAGATCTACTCAGGCTTCTAACTGCATTCCTATAACAATCATTTTCATTATTTACTTCTCTCCTAATATTATTCCTAATGCTAGACACAGTTATACCAAAGTTATATTCTACATTCTCCTTCTCGATACTCTTCTTGGCTAACATATCAACTTTATCATGAAGGAGTAATCCAATGTGTGATGGGATCCATAGCAATTGTACATTAATTCCTTTGTCCCTAATTTTTGAGTATCTATACCTGGCTTCCCAATGAGCATGTTGTTGGAGTCATTTATGAGCCAAGAGCCTTCAATGATGACATAGAATCAGTAATGATGATAGAGTCAAGCTCAGTGTCATAGGTTAGCTTTAGCGCCATTAGGATTGCAAACAATTCAGTTTGCAGTGTAGACACCCAGTTGTTAATTCTTATGCCTAACTCAACAAATTTATTATCGTTCTTAACTAGGGAGGTGGCAACAAGAGCAGATGCAGCCCTGCCAGAAGACTCCTGTTTAGATCCATCAGTTTATATAACTTGTGATAACTTGGTTACTACAGCTAGGTGAGAAATTTCTTCTTGAGCAGTTGCTCTAACAAGAGATTTAAGGAAGGGATTACTAGCAATGAGCTTCTTGGGAGGAACTTGTAGGTATGTGATATTAAATGAACACATCTTCCATGGAGGGGTGAAATGCTCTTGTTGCCTACAGTGATACAGTTCATGCAGGTTATAAAACTTAATGCAATTGCACGTTTTCACAATCCATTTAGATCTGTGTGTATTTACCTCTAGACACTTGGTAAGATTCACTGTGACAGTGTCTGGTTCGTTTCTTAACATTCTAATACCGAGTACAGTGTTAATCTCAACAATCCTATCACTGATACTAGAAATACCAAGCTCCTTCCTCATGTTAAGAACTTTTGTAGATCTGGGACAGCCAAGAATAATCCTGAGAGCTTCATTTTGCATTAACTCCAAGGGTCGGAGAGAACTTTCTCTAGCTAATACCTGTACCTAAACTTACGCAAATAATCGAGTTACGCAAATAATCTCAGTTGAAGGAAGTATAGCAGTGCTTAGAGAGAGACAAAAAAATACACCTACTGAGCCGTACTAATTTACATACACCTGAGACATGTGTCTCAATTACACCACATGTCATGCTTCACAAAATCCTTATTTTTAGCGTACTAGGCCTACCAGGCCTCCTTCCTGAAGGCCCAGGTGGTGGTGTTGGGGTTGTAAGGTACACTGTCAGCTTCATCACTACTCGCCTATTATTTATTTATTTATTTTATTTATTTATTTATTTAAAAATTTGTGCACACATACAGAGGTACAAAAAATACAGAAAAGAGCAGTATGCCAAAGCCACTTATACTATGCATAGCATTACGGGCTGGCTTAAAATTAACTTAAGATGAACTAAGCAATGATGACATCGGTGATAAAACTTTAATGTAAACAGATTACTATAAAGCACAAGTGAGTATTACAAAGACAGGTCATATGGTTGTATGCATTGTTGTACATTCAGTAGAATGGAGTATTCTGTTAGGTAGTGTATTTAAAAAATAATAAAGTTAGATTGGGTTTTAGGTTTAACATTTATGTGATATAATTGTGAGAAACATTTAAGATATACAATTTATAAGGTTCAGTTATTCAGTATTTATTTGGTTTTGGGTGAGTAAGTGATCTTTTAGAAGAGACTTGAATTTATAAAACAGGTAGTGTTTCTTTTATATTTACAGGTAATGAGTTCCAGATTTTAGGGCCTTTTATGTGCATTGAGTTTTTGCATAGTGTGAGGTGGACACGAGGAACATCAAAGAGTGATCTGTGCCTTGTGTTATGGTCATGTGTTCTGTTGAGGTTGGCAAGGAGATGTTTTGAGGGAGGGTTAATATCAGAGTTAAGTGTTCTATGTATGTAATAGGTGCAGTAATAAGTATGAATGTTTTGTATGGTGAATAGGTTTAGTGTATTGAATATTGGTGGAGTGTGCTGCCTATAGTGAGAATTTGTTATCATTCTAACTGCAGCCTTTTGTTGGGTAATTAGTGGTCTGAGATGGTTACTTGTTGTTGAGCCCCATGCACAAATTCCATAGGTGAGATAGGGGTAAATAAGAGAGTGATATAGGGCCAGGAGGGCTGACTGTGGAGCATAGTACCGTATCTTCGATTCAGAGTAATAATAATACTAATAATTTTATTTAGGTATAGGTATACATAAGAACAGTTTACATAAATTATTATACATAGCAATATGTGTGTAAGTTACTCAGGATAACCCAAAAAATAGGTCAAAGTGACTTATTTCCATTGTGGTCCTGGTAAGTATATTTAGGTACAAATACACATAAGTAAGTTTATTCTGATATACACAAATACAGTTACACTGATTATCATACATAGCAGTATATGTATAGAGAACTTATGATAACCCAATTATCATACATAGTCTAAATTGGTTTAGAAAGACACGTAAGCAAATACTATAACATATTTATTAGAAAACGTTTCGGTCCTGGGACCTTGATCAAGAAGAAGTGATCAAGAAGTGATCAAGGTCCCAGGACCGAAACGTTTTCTAATAAATATGTTATAGTGTTTGCTTACGTGTCTTTCTAAACCAACTTGTCGGTATTTATTACCAAGGTTTATACCATAGTCTAAATTACTTAGTATATTGTATTGTACTGTATTGTATTATATTGTTATAATAATCATCATATAATACTATGTTTACTACCAGTACATGTACAAGGTATACAGATCATAGCTGACATCAATAACATACTACTATACATGTAAATCACTATTATATACCTTTATTGAATACTCTTGTTGGCGTATGGAAGAAAGTGGAGGAGAGAGGAGAGCTTATTCTTGGGAAGGGGAATCCCCCTCCAAAAGGCCTTCAGGTATGAAGTCCCTATCCGGGGATACTTCCCTTTGTCTTTTACTGCCACTGGACCCTTGTTGCACTAAAAATCTGTCCAGAGAGCTCTGTTTCTGACGTCTCTTTAAGATTTGCCTAAAACGGGACAAGGTATTGTCATTGAACATGTTGCAGATATAGCTTGTATCAGCTTGGTCAGGGTGATATTTTTCCACGAAAGCTTGCAACTCACTCCACTTTGCACAAATGTCCTTAATCACTGAAGAAGGCAACTTCTCCTCTCTCTCTTCCTCCTCCTCTGAAGTAATTTCCTCAGCTGTGATCTGTTGCTGTTCAAGTTGAAGGTCTTGCAGGTCTTCAGTAGTTAGCTCTTCCCTGTGGTCCTCCACCAACTCTTCCACATCCTGACCTCTCACATCCAACCCCAGGGACTTCCCCAAAGCCACAATAGATTCCACAATAAGCGTAGGGTCGTCAGGGTCAGCCTCAAACCCTTCAAAATCCTTATCGAGGACACATTCTGGCCACAATTTCCTCCAAGCAGAGTTCAAAGTCCTGGAAGTCACTCCCTCCCAAGCCTTACCTATCAAGCTTATGCAATGGAGGATATTGAAGTGATTCCTCCAGAACTCTCTTAGGTCACTTCAGTGTCCGAGGTCACTTCAAAGCACCTTTGAAACATTGCTTTCGTGTAGAGTTTTTTGAAGTTAGAAATGACTTGCTGGTTCATGGGCTGGATTAGAGTAGTGTTAGAAGGCAAGAACTTCACTGTTATAAAACTGAAGTTCCTAAACAATTTGTCTTCCAAGTCTGGAGGATGAGCAGGAGCATTGTCCAGTACCAGGAGGCACTTGAGTGGCAAGTTATTTTCCAGGAGATATTTTTGCACACTCGGGCCAAACACTTCATGGATCCAGTCAATGAAAATTTGACTAGTGATCCATGCCTTGTTATTAGCTTTCCACATCACACACAATTTACTCCTGACGACATTATTTTTCTTAAACACTCTGGGATTTTCAGAGTGATACACCAGTAAAGGCTTCACTTTGAAATCCCCACTAGCATTACCACACAACAAAAGAGTAAGCCTATCCTCCATAGGCCTATGTCCTGGCAGTGCCTGTTCCTCTTGTGTGATGTAGGTCCTCTTCGGCATTTTCTTCCAAAAGAGACCTGTTTCGTCACAACTGAAGACTTGTTGGGGGACGAATCCTTCAGTTCCTACATACTTCTTGAATTCATCAACGAATCCTTCATCCTCAGGTTTGTCAGAACTTGCAGCCTCACGATGACTTACAACACTGTGTATTCCACTACGCTTCTTGAATCTGTTGAACCAGCCTCTGCTGGCCTTAAATTCACTAACATCAGCACTCGTTCCAGGCAGTTTCTTCACAAGATCAGCATATAACTGCCTCGCCTTTTCACAGATGATGGATTCCACAACAGTATCTCCCATTAATTGTTTCTCGTTGATCCACACCAACAACAACTTCTCCATATCTTCATTTGTTTGTGATCTCTGTTTTGTTAGCATATTTACCCTTTTGCAACATTTGCTTCCTTGATTTCTATTTTCTTGGCCAGGATAGAGCAAATTGTTGATTTCGGCTTGCCATACAGCCTGGCGAGTTCGGCTGCACGTATTCCACTTTCGTATTTCTCAATAATCTCTTTCTTAAATTCTATGGTGTTTCTCACTTTCTTTACCATAGGACTGGCACTAGGAACCTTCTTTGGGCCCATGGTGGCTTATTTCGCAGTCCCACTCAATAAACAACCACAAAAAAAATGGATTATTGCGAAATGTTTCGGAAGGACGCGTATAGTGTTACTCAATCGACGAGTGACAGAGTCACACTGAGACACATAAGCATGACTGGCGGCTTCCCTGGCGGACAGACGTCCGATATTATGATACGTGTGATTTCCGGGTTGAGGTACGAAATCCGGACCGAAATTTCGCCCTAAAAAGTGGTCTGATTTCCGGGTTGAGGTACGAAATCCGGACCGAAATTTCGCCCTAAAAAATGGTCTGATTTCCGGGTGGAGGTACGAAATCCGGACCAAAATTTCGCCCAAAAAAGTGGTCTAAATCACATACGATTCGGTGCTTACGAAACCGGAGTTCCATTATGTAGAAAGCCACTTGGTATGTATTGTATTTTATTATCTATTGTGTAATATTGCACTGAATTGTATTATATTGTACTCTATTATATTGTATTTTATTGAATTGCAGTATATTGTATTTTATTATTTAGTACCATGATATATTATATTATTATATTGTATTGTAGTATATTGCATTGTATCATATTGCAATGCATTATATTTGTATTGTATTATATCATTGTATTATAGTGAATTATTGTATTGTATTATAGTGAATTGCATTATATTATTGCATTGCACTGTCCAGCATCATACTGTATTGTATTATATTGTATCACATTGTATTGCATTACATTATATCATATTTTTGTATAAATAAATAAATAATAATAAAGATAGGTTGGTTGTGCGTGAGATGGCGCGCGCGGGAACCAGCTTCTTCCTGCACTTGTAAACAAACTCACCTGCTGAGTTCGTGATTTATATTATTTTTACTGAAATAACGCTTGAAAATGGGGTCACCTAAGTTTTAATATGGCGTGACTGGGTTGTGTGAGGCTTTAGCATGGGTTGTTTGAAGCTTTATCATGGGTGACTGGGTAGTGTGAAGCTTTATCATGGGTGACTGGGTAGTGTGAAGCTTTAGCATGGGTGACTGGGTAGTGTGAAGCTTTATCATGGGTTGACTGGGTAGTGTGAAGCTTTAGCATGGATGACTGGGTAGTGTGAAGCTTTAGCATGGATGACTGGGTAGTGTGAAGCTTTAGCTGATGACTGGGTTGTGTGAAGCTTTAGCATGGATGCTGGGTAGTTGAGCTTTAGCATGATGACGGGTAGTGTGAAGCTTTAGCATGGATGACTGGTAGTGTGAGCTTTAGCATGGATGCTGGTAGTGTGAAGCTTTAGCATGGGTTGACTGGGTAGTGTGAAGCTTTATCATGGGTGACGGGTAGTGTGAAG